GTACCCACAGAATATGATTTGCCACATCTCTGACAGAAGTAACAGCCCTAGTCACTTCATTTACAGGATTTTTTATTTTGCATCTCTACTCACTACTCATTGTGTTCTGCACATTTTGTACATATGGATTTGACATCTTTTTAGTGTTATCCTCATGGAACTTTGTGCTCCTGTATTTACAGTGTTGGACTAACATTGGACCAGAGATGTCTTGCTGCACTGTCTTGTTAATCCAAAGCATATCTTCACCCTCCGTCTTCAGGTGGAAAGTGAGTATTCTTCATAAATACTTCAGCTATTCTGCTTACAAAGTAAGTCCTACCTCTTTGAGAATCAAAACTTGCCTTCCTACACAATAAGCTCTATCCTCCTCTGAGCCACAGTCTTCCTCCATATTTTTCTGCAATAATACCAAATCTTCTCCATTCATGGTTTCAGATATCCAAATGTCACTAATTTCTCTAGGTCTCATGCTCTGCAACCTAAAGCATCATGTTGCTCACTCACCTTCCATCTTCACTGATGTCTCCTACCTTGCCCTTGCTCGTTCTTCAACATAAAAAACAGACCAAGTATTATCCAAAGGAAAAGACAAAAGAGGCTATTTGGGAATTAGAAATTGCTGAAATTCCCTGCTCTCCACCATTGCAAAATTCTCTCTCCTATCAGATATAGGTCCTCTCAATTTTTCCAGAAGAAAAAAAGGACTGAATAGTACCTACATGTATTTTGAAGGCTTTGATAATAAAGTGGTAAAGAACAATCTGAAAACTCACAGATGAATGTCCACTGATTACGGCTGAAGTTTAACAAAAATAATTCAGTATGTTCCACAATGCCTAGACGGAGACCTGAACCCAACAGAAATCAGTGTCTAGCCTTAGTGAATCTTCACTGAGATGCCACTTCACTTTTAAGACATGAAAATACCTTTGTAAAGTCTCTGCTTACACATTCAGTTGCCACAGTTTAGTTAAAGAGGGTAAAAGAGAAAAAAATAAATGTTTGAAAGCAAAAGTAGTCCAAACGTATAATGTGGCTTACACGGGCCTAAGCTAACATATATCATCAAGATTTTTGATTTCATGGAGAATCTCACTCAAACTTCTATGCCCTACAAGATTACCATACATGGAAACTATCAGCTGTGTCTGATACAAATGCAAGGGCATGTGACTTAAGCTAAAACTCAAAGTAAGATTTCTTGCTGGTTGGACCACACCCTTTGATCATAACTTATCATTTAAGGCCTTAGTCCTGCAAAGACCTCATAGATATACGACCAGTTCTAATGGGACCAGGACCAAGCCTTCACATATTATTTTAAAATTAAGCAACGCTTTGCAGGGGACAAGGCAGAATTTATATTCTCTGCTCACTTTCGGCTATACCTTTGTTTGTTTGTCAAGCATCCACTGGTCTATAAACTAACAAAAGCTCTAGGCTCCTTGGTATAATTATTTCCTGCCCTCTTTTAGGTAAGAATTATATTCATCATTGTTTCTGTCTGTGTAGGACAGAAATATTTTTACATAGGATAGATAAACATGCTCTTGTAGTTCAATATTGCTTAAATTTTATATATCATGCACCACTTCCAGTACATCACTCTTCGTTAAGAGACAACCTAATGAAATCACTGTACATGAGCAATCACCCTACTCTAGTCTTTAATCAGACCTCCGCATTTTATCTGCAAGAATCTGCTGTGCAGATCTACACATCTGTAATAAATTCACTTGCCAATATTGCCAACTTTTCTGCAACTTGAGGATTTATTAATGCCAGCACTTCTTTCCCAAAGGAGCAGGCGCTATGGAAATCAGAGACTTTACTGACGTATCAAGTTTTAGTCACATGTCAATCATTTTACCCTAATTACAATGCAGCTATCTCTGAGTACAGTAACGGCATATTACAACACCACTATAGCAGGCTGAGGAGAGAAACTGCGTAACACTTTTTGAGAACACCACAAGAAATTTAAGTATTGAGAACATAACTGACTGAACTGGAATTTGGACAGCACACTGAGATAACATTGCTGTCTATGCAAGAAACGCTAGGAGGTTTTGAGAGTTGATTTATGCAGTGGTGTAAATCCAGATGTAATTCCACTTTGTCCTCACAGTGAGACACTAGACATGGACTAACCCTGCTCTGGAAACCATATAAATGTGAAAATGTGGCACTGTGTGCATTCTTGTAAGGTTTAACCCTAAGCAGTAATAACTGCTGACCTTGTTTGGCTTCTGAGGACCTAGCAAAAACAGTTTGAAAGGGCTTGGTTTTTTTAATTAATCTGTTGAAAGTAAATTACTCTCCCAGGTAACACACACCTACATGGACAAATTCTGCCTAGGTTTGTATTCCATTGTCCTATCTTGCAAGTTTGAGACTGAGCAAGTTGCAGGGGCAGGTTAGTAGAAAACAGTTCTAGTATATACAGCAGTGATACGCTATAAACCGAGGAATGCAGAATAAGTAGGTTTACCACGCAATTCGGATTGACATAAGGCATCCCATAGCTCTCATATTTAGCTGAGCAGAGTCAGTTCTAAACCAGATGGAGTTTTGTAAGGGAATTTCCGTATTACATGACAGGACTACTGCAAAGTAACATCTCAAAAATGCAGCCATGCAGAAATGGGTCCTAAAGAGGAATTTGCTTTGCTGTAACTAAGACATTATCATCCCTTCTAATTTCTAACGCTTAGTGTGGTTTTACCTAGCAAAACTGGGTATTTAACTTTGCCCATTGTTTTATTTGGTAACAAGATCTGCAGGCTCTGGCCAATTAATATGTTTACTAGCATTCAGTCAGGTTTCAGGGTGTTCAGGTTGAAGTACCATCCAGGCTGTTAAAGTTTTAGCGCTTACAGTCCCTGCCACAGGGACCGCATATAGGCAATTTTTTTCTCCCTCCACTGTTTGGCTCTGCTCTGTCTGACCAAACACTCCTAGGCTGAACCAGCAAGGGAACAGAGGGAGAACTTGCTCCTGCTGTCACGTCCTCCCAGGATGGCACCACTTAGCAGCTGGAAGAGCAAAGCCAGGACTGTCTGCACTCAGGTCCTGTGGGAGCTGGCAAGTCTGCTCAGGAAACAGATATCCTCCCCCTCCAGGAGACCCGTGGCCAACACTTGAGTTACTCTGTACATGGGATAATCATTCAGCAGAAGTACGCTGTTTTAAAATGCTCTTTATCCAATAATGTTCATCTGTTTGTGCCAATTCCCAGTGCTTTGGCAGCAGCGGGAGATGAAAAGAATGAAGGACAGGGGATATGAGAACTTCCACTGAGAACAGGGAAAAAAAATCATTTTTTTCTCTTGGATTAAAGTTTAAGTGTTATCAATTTCATGGTTAAGGTTGTGGTTGTCATTCTCGTCTCTGCAGGCTGCTCTGATTTATGGGTCAGAGAAAGCGTTTAATAAGGATTTATAGAAGCACAAACCTCTCTCCATGTACTGTCCTTGTGCCTTCCTTTGCCTTTCCATGTCAAACATTACTGTTCTGACATGGTGAAGGCAACACCCGGCCCCCAACGCTAGAGTCCAGTGGCTGAGACCACTTCTTTCTGGTTCACCGAAAGAGTGCACAGCCTGGTTTCATGTCCTCCCTGCCCTGTGCACACAGCAAGGCCATCTCCCGTGACACACCTGCACCTAAAACGGACCTATAAATCTGTCTTAAAAGCGCCTTTTCCCTATGACAGTGGTACACTTTCTCACAGGGGTTGCTCCTGGCTTTTGCTCGATTGAGTTCTTCCAAACCTTCTTCCAAGCAGGGAGATTTCGCGATCTACCAACTTAAGACCACGGCACCCTCGCGCAATGCAGCACCTCCTCCCTGGCCACCCCCTCACCATGCCATGCCTGGGGAGGCACCCCCAAAACGCCGCCAGCCCCTCAACTCCCGCCCAGCGTCCTACCTGGCATCGACTGTGCCACCACCTCCGGGGTGGCAGCAGGAGCGGCGTGGGGCTGCTGCTGGCTGGGGGGGGACTCAGGGCCCGGCGGTGACG